AGCAGATAGAGACAGAGTTTTTATGTAAGTCATCATTTTCCCTTATATGTTTTTTGGCTGATGTTAGATTGGTTTCCATTATCTAAATCTGATCAGGACATACCTATTATATATTAATTAAACACTTTTTATAAAACCTTTACATGAACATTACATAAAGCAACCAGTGCTCGTTTTATTTCTTGAAGTATAGTAAAACTAGATTTCCAATTACCCGGTTTATCAAATATTAAATATTTGTTTATGCTTACAGATCTTTCTGCCACCAACAAACCTTCATAAATTTGTTGTTTACATGCATTACATTCAATGATAAACTGTATTTAAAATAACCTAAGGCTTATTTTGTTTAAGCCCCTGTTCTCCTTTCCTTCATTTGTGATGTAGAATCCATCTTTCCTCTGTCAGGTTGGGAACTTTTGGCTGTGTGCGATCGATCAACATGCATAATTCATAGTTAGAGGGTTAAGAGCAGCTCTGCTTCTCTCTTACTGGGGCCCTTTGATTTTCATCTCTCTATCTGCCCCCCCTGAGGGAGAACTGCAGCCCTGCTGCAAAATGGCTTCACACACAGCTCTGATGTGTGGGCATTCATTCGTGTGCTCTCATAGAGCAGCCAGCGTGGGCAAACTTCACCCCAACATATAGATGTTTGGGTAGGAAGGTACTAAAGCTCTTCATAACATAACCAAACTGTGATGTTTATGGTGCTTTATGTCAGTAGGACTTAAAAAGGAGAGTCTAATCCATCCTCTGGAGACCCTTTAGGTCCCACATGCAACCAAAACTCTGCTATAGAATCAATTTTTGAATGTTGGTGAATTTATCATCCTGGCAGTTGTAGATAATGAACTAGATCTCCCCAGAATTACCTCAAAACAATCGACAAAACATGTTTGGAATTAAAAAGCGGAAGGTTTCTGATTCCAGTTCTCCTCTTGTGTTTTGATATTGTTAAAATTTGATAGACTTCAACTTCACATCAACGTCAACTTGAATCATCAGGCAGATTAATTAATGTCCAAGTGTCTGTGCAACCAAGCATCCATCTGTGTTTGCTTGACCGTACATAGGCCGAGCAGACAAGGAGAGCATATTTGTTGGTAAAAATGGTAGGTGAACTCCCTCTCAGGGTAAAATGGAGACACTATGTTCCTTTAGCTCCTTTGAGGAGAGCCCAAGATGTCTTCGCCATCCATGCTTTGCCATCTTTTCATCAATTCTAACTGGTTACTTTTTTTCTGCTCAAATTTTTTTAATCAAAAGTGATTTAATAGACATAACAATGCAGCTATACTGTGAAATTAATATTGAGCTCTTCTCCCACAGGTGAACGTTTAGTTGGGGGATAGTATGATGCACAGAAAGATATAGTTACGTTTATCACCACAACTTTCTGATACACATAGTATTTTTCTAAGCCAAAATTTTCTATAGTGGAGCATTAACCTGCAGAACACCATCTTCCAGGTGTTTGCTGTGTCTGCTACATGACCTGTGGTCAATTCTTATTGCTTTTTGTCAAAAATAGTTTTTTACTATTCCTCCTTGAAGGTACAGGGCTACCAGCTGTCCTTCGGACAGTTTCTTCCTCTTTAGGTTATTGGTTGGACTGGATTTCCTTCTACTTCCGTCACAGTTAAGTGGGGTAAAATTTACCTTTCAGAGTTGTATTTTTAGAAACTCTAGGTCAATCAAAGGTCAATTCCCTCCCACTACTACCAGAGTTATGAACCTCTTCATGTGTGTTTTTCATATAAATGTCCAATGAAATCTGCTGGGGTTTAGTTGGAATGGGAAAAAAAATGTGAAAAACTTTAAGGAAACTTTATCTGTCCTCTTTAGTTATACCTTCTTTGATAAATCAGCCCCCTGCTGTGATTAAGATCTAGATGATATTGGTCATTTATACGCATCAGTATTACATTAACTGGAAATCTGGTATCCTGGTATCTGGTATAAGACAAGGAAATAAAATCCAGTTGAGTATTGCTTCACAATTTGGTTGGAAAACAAATCAGCACTTAAACCTGAATCAAAGCCGACCATGATTATATAAGAAACCAGTGCAGAGGCACGTGCAGTGCCTTAGTTGAACGGAGACATTCTGTATCAGAGGATTTATTCTTACCATTGCTTCTTTTGTTGTCACCATCAGAGCTGCCTGTTCACTGTCTGGCTGCCAGTGTTTGCAGATAGTGTTCAGCATGCAGCAGCAGACAGATGGGTCTATCCACCTCTACCACAATGGAGGCTGTACTTGGTGTGATATTTAAAGTCCATGACAGGAATGTTGTTCTATCTTGCTTTTTTTCTGACATCTCAGGCTCCTCGCATACAGTACTAACTCTGAATAATATTTTATTTGACAGAGATATCATTTTCATGTGACTTGTAATGAATCAGTATGTATCATGTAAAGCAATATCTGAGATCTAGAAACATAGTGGCAAATTTTAGTATTTCATCACATAAAAGACTTTGGTCATCTGTGTTTACTTAAAGATAAATTGTTTAATATATTTACCTTGAAAAATGAGTCCCTCCTAATCCCTACAGCCTGTCTGTTGTCTTTTGCTTTCCCTCATAGGCTTTAATAAATCATTCTTACACAGTTTCTTGAATCGAGAAAGTCTAACAAACTGATATATGTTTAAATAGTCATTGAAGAACAGTTTTCAAAGATTAAAATGAAAAACTATATTTGGATAAAACAGGCATGAAACACAGAAGTCTTAAAATAATCAACATAATCCGGAATCTGGTAAACCCATCTAGTTTTGAGTTTTTTAAATCAAACAACTGCTGCTTCCTAAAACAAACAATTAACATTAAAAATCAAGAGAATCAGACCAGTTCTGACTGATCCATTATCTTTCTTATGTAATACAAACTCTCTTTAAGAAGTTGACCATGTGTCTGCCCTAACTTTATACACCAATTTGTTGAATAAGCTGGTAAACTAAATATTATTTATTATCCAATGCAAAGGTTTTCCTGCCAACATGCATGTAGTGAAACATTTCTGACACTGGAGATTCAAGGTGCTGCTTACAGTCTGCAATTCCAACTGCATCCAGACCTCCATGCACACAGAAGTCACCATCTGCAGTTAGACCTGCTGTGCTCTCCATTGTCTGATTACCCAGCAGCAGTTCATGAGATTTGTTTCTCAAACGTCTCTGAATTGATCATCTTTCTACCGAACTGAATTGCTGTCTATCTCTGATCATTTTTCTGTAACTTCTGTCCTTCCATCCCCGTTGTCCTATGCTGTGCTGTTTATAAATCCATGCACATTTTCACCCTTTTCTCTTTTATCTCTGGCCTTTTTAAGCTCAGGCCAGCATGATCAATAAAGAACAAGTACAGGCTGAACCTGGCTGACTTTTTATCTGGCTGTTCCTCCTGCCTGGGGGCTTTGGTGGGAACATGAAGTAAAAGATGTGAATTCCTGGACTGTTTCAGTTCCTCCTGCCTGGGGGCTTTGGTGGGAACATGAAGTAAAAGATGTGAATTCCTGGACTGTTTCAGGAATTTACAGAACCTGGATTTGCTGGTTACTGTCTGCAGAAGATTCAGTGAGCTTTCTGAATCGATGCAGTTATCAGCTCTTCTCCCATTGTTCAGTCAGAGCTTTGTTTGTCATTCATGAAGTGTGAACAGAGCAACCAGCCTGTGCAAAGTATGTTTAGCATGTGGCTTTATGTAAGACTAGCATAGCAAACACATGGCTGATGCTTGTACCTGTCTGCAATACTGAATGACCTTAAACCTGTGCATTGGCTCAATTCCTCTGCTGAAGATGACCCTCCATTACTCCCCAACTTCCCTGTTAATGATTCAGCGTAATTAATGGTGTTTACTGTCTCCTGAGCAAAGACATTAGCATAAAGAGCGAGCAGAGATTTCATGAGGGTAAAGGGAGGATGAGGATGGGAGGTAAGGTTAGATGTGGCCAGGAACACATGCAGAAAGAATAAGAACAAGAGGCTGAAGAGAGAACAAGCTTTTATAGACTGTATAACAGCAGAAAGAACCTTCTTTAAAGATAGACCAACAGGGTTGTAGACACTTTCTATCGAATAATTCAACTTGCAAAAGATTTTGCTGCATTTTCTTACCTCCATCTTTCTGATCTATTTGCATTTCTTCTCAAATTTATGCTTCCTTTACTCCAAGCTAACTTCTTATCTGATAACTGCTAACCTAAAATAATGACAAAACCATTGTCATTAAAATGACGTACAAAATATAATGAAGTGAAAAGTATTGGTGTACTTGGAGATTTCTTTATTTCTTAATATCTAAAACATGAAGCAAGAAAAGGGTTTCATTTATAAAGCGAAAGTGTCTCTTTCTCTGGTGGTTTCTGGGCCATGATCAGGTTTCCAGTCTATCACAGATTAACACTGAAACTAAGGATCATTTAGAAGACAGTTTATCAAGTTTAGTCGAATCTATGAGAAGTTCTACTTCTAAATAAAATCTCCCTTTTTTTTTTTAAACATTATTTCTTGTCAGGATTTTTTGTGTTTACTGATAATAGATATTTTTGTATAATAAAGAAAATAAAAGAGTTAGAAGTCTGTTAGGAGAATGAAGGATATATGAGCTTCCCAGTAATGTTTCAGCTCCTCCTCTGAGTCTGGATGAAGCCCAAAGGAGTTTTATTTGCTTCTTCAAGGGGAGTTGAAGGATGGAGGAGAGCTGAAGTCCCCGCAGTCATTAGGATGCCTCCGCCCTGCTTCGTACCCTTCATCCTCTGCTCTCCCTTAGAGGTCTCCTCTCCTTCTCTTACTGCCCTGGATAAAGGCTGTCCTCTACAGAAACCTCTTGCCCCTCCCTGACACTTTAAAAATCATACAGCATGTTCTGTAGATGGATGATGTTTTGGCTCCAACCCCTGTCCCAGTCTGCTCAAATACTGTAATAAATATAATAAATTAATTTAAGAGGCTAAATACTGAATCTATCTTTCTGTCTCTCCTATGCTGCAGTGTGAAGATGGTTCTGCTCTGGACGGCAGGGGACATCTTTAAGACCACCTACTTTGTGATGAATGAAAGCCCAGCTCAGTTCTGGGTGTGTGGTTCAGTTCAGATCCTGGTGGATGTGGCCATCCTGCTCCAGGTGCTGTCTTACAACTCGGACCTGCGGCCCAAGCTTGGTTAAAGGCTGATCAGAAGAACATTGTGAGAGAAGAATCTTTTAATTAAGGGTTAGATTCTAGTTAGAAATATTTTCCTATGTAGGATATGAGAATATGTGGAAAACCAATTTAATAATTTTTTTGTATCCTCTGCTTGGTCTCTGAGACCTAATCAAAATTATTTTTAATGAAACATGATAAGATAATATTTAATCGCATTTATGGTTATTTTTCTACTATTTATTGTCACAATGTGACTTATTTTTCACACCCTTTAGTTTTATTGAGCAAGAAAACCTTTGAGGGAAACATAACTTATATTGGCAGCTCACTAACAGCAGACCTGTGCTGCTGTAATGGCCACTCCAATAACCAGTCTGTCACTGGAACTACTCCACTAGAACCAGCCTTCTGACTGATAGTTCTCCGGCTTCACTCTCGTGTCTCCTCCGGACTGTTCTTAACGTGTGCATGTAAATCTGGCTGCAGGCAGGAGCACGCGTGTTGATGTTTTTGCTGCATCTCTGTAGCTGAGATTTATTTTTGCTGTTGAAATCCAGCATCAGTCTAAGGCCAGATGATGCACATCAACTACAGCTTGGTTTGGTGGTTATACATCTGTCTGTTTCTTTGGTCCAGATGAAGAGTAATTCTGCTTTTACCTCCACATTTTGGGCATATGAAAGTTTTAAATCCCAATCACTATCTTTTTAAGAGGAAACAAGATAAATATTAGGTCTATGATTTGTGTTTTGTATTCCAAATTTCAATGTATTTTCCGGTCCTGGCAGCATAGTAATCAAGTTTGCAGAGGTAAACCACTCAGGAACAATCAAATATTTATTTCACCCATTCACTGATATGTGTGTGGTTAAGTTTCGGCCTTTTATAAACCTGGGGCAGGTGGTAATATAACTTAGAATCTCTGTCCCATTAAATTATTTTATTTGTGTCTTAACTTGATGAAATCATTGGGAAATCAATCTAAAATCAATTGATTGTTTTTCTGATATACTTTTTCTTATTTTATTTTAAAGGGTTTTAACCCATCCAAAATAAATGCTGCGAAAAAAAACAACTAATTCTTTAAATGTTGGACAAAAGTCATAAAATGTAAAAATAAAGCTTTTTTTTTTAAAGAATTTTGCCTTCAACAGGTATCAGTCAGTCTTATTATTCTCATAAGTATGAATGGTAAAGTTTAAGAAAAGATTTATAAAATACCACATACTGACAAGGGGCCTTATTTCATGTCTTACAAAAATATGCATTAGTTATCATAGTTTGCACTACTTGATCAATTTTACTGTGCTTGAATTTAGATTGTTCTCCTTTATGATAAATGGAGAAATGCATTCATCTAAGAAGCCTGAGAAATGCAGAACTTAAAGGGGTCATAGAATGCAAAACCGAGCTTACATTGTTATAAATGAATAACGATAGTTCAGTGGGTGAAATGGACGTACAGAGAAGTTCAAACCCCAGCGACACCTCCTTTCTCTGCAAATCTCACAATTCTTAACTTCGACCATGAAACCGGCAAATCCAAACGAAGCCCCGAATTGACCTCAATTTGGAGATGATGCCTTATTTGGTTCTGGCCTGCACCTTTGCAATCCCCCGAAATTTACATACAGACCTGCCCACTGGTTCGCTGGCCCAAGGGAGGGGGGGTGGGGGGTTATGACTGGACCTGACCTCAGCAGAAAGCCACGAGCCGCCCATCCTCAGCCGGAGGAGGGGGGCTGGGGGCCGGTAACAGACATCCCAAGTCTCCCAGAAGTTCTGGGAGTCTCCTTGATATACATAGCTGTTCACGGATGCCCGCAAGTCGGATAAATTATCCAGGATTTTAGACTATGCGAGGTGGTGTTTTTTTTTTTTTACAGTTTTTTTCGATTGCGCAGACATCAAGAGAGAGGGGATTGTGGAGAGGAGGTTGCTTGTGAAACCTGTGCGTATCTGTCCAAAGCGATGCTCTGTTCAACAAGCGTTCCAGGTGACTGGTTGTCAGAGCACGCTGATTGGATTGGTCAAAAAAATAAGTCAATAAGTTTGGTTTACTCTCTTACAGTCACCTAGTTACCACTCAAAGCTGTGCATCCTGTGAAATAAGTTAAATCCTCCATTGAAAAACGAAAATATAAGACTCATTTTACAGCAGAGTAAATTGAAGTATGTCCGCGTCTACTCAAGGTGAAGAATGATGAAGTGTGTATGTATGGGGCACAATGCGGGTCGGTTGTATTTGGCTGCGGCGGGCGGGGCCAGTGGTTTGCACTGTAGTCGACCAAAATCCCAGACGATTTTGAAATTCCCCCGGACATTTTGTTAGGCATGAAAAGTAGGACATGTCTGGGGAAAAAGACGACGTCTGGTCACCCTACCATACCATGTTTCAGTGAGTGAGTGCTTGTTGCTATGATGCGTCTTTGCTCAGCAGCTTCACTCATTGTAAACCAACCAATCAGCGCACAGCTCATCTAAATATTCACTAGCATACCATAAAAAGAAGTAAAGCTGTCGCTTCATTCTAGGGCTTTTAACCAGGCTTGCATTAGGGCTCATAGAACAGCAAATATGCAATTTTAAGCCCAACCAATGTTACACACCATATTCAGAGACCTTAAGCACCAGCACCAAATACCCCATATAATCATTCTATGACCCCTTTAAAGATACATTTTTATGCATGCAAGATATCTTTAAAGTAGCCTTTTTTTTTATCTCTATCCCTGCTTAGATTTTCTCTGTGAACTTCCAAGGTCCATTAAGATGACTTGGCAGTCCAATATTTACTGTAGGAGGGAGTGTTTGTCTACAAAGGACTGGCAATCCTGCCTTCAGGCTCATGAAGTGAGAGCTGAAGTACACCCTCCACCCACCCCCACCTACTCTGAATAGGACCTACCAAGTAAAAATATTTAGACTGGTCATAAAACACAGATTCTGACTAGTTATTCAGGTTAGTGTTTGGTAGAAATACTCCACTCAGAGATGTATCAGCAGAAATTAAGAATAGTGTTCATTGTTAATGCCGATATGCATTTAAATGAAACTAAAAAGAGTCCAACTTCTATGTTACAACATTTTAAAATCAAATTCCTGAGAAGTGCAGACGGTTAACAGATGCAACTGATTCAAAATCTATTTGGTAACAGACACAAAAAAAATATATCCTGACATCTAAATATGTTATTAAAAAAATGTTTTATATTGTGACAGGAACAAAGGGTGCTCGGCTTTCCTCATCCTTTTAAACCAGAAGTTTCTAGACAGTCCTTTAAATGAGATTTTATTCTTTTATGATCTGTGAAATGGCCATAATGAAACTTGAAAGTTGGAACTCCTTCATTAAAACGAGGAGTTTATATAAACAGCCTGCTGATGCATCATGTTTCCTTTATGCCGCCCCTTGAAAAGTCATTTAGGAGCTGCAGAGCATGCAAAGTAGAATGGTAACCCAAGCGAGGACGGTTGCTCTGATCATCTTACCTCCCACTTAATTATGTCATCAGCCATGTTTTCCACATACATTCATTATCTCTGCCTCTACAGTTAAACTGGAAGGCTTCAGTTATATTTTGTAACGATCCAGCATAATTTTAGTGTTCGTCTATTGGTGTTGTAGCTTATGTTCAGCTTGATAAATGTAGGGGTGAAATTAAGCCCATCCAGCAGCTAATCAGCAGTCAGGGCATGTTCCTGTTTAACCAGCCTGATGTATTCAGGTAATAAAAGTATGAGGTTATTAATTCTTTTAGACACCTTTTTAACATAGCAGCTTTGTTCCATCTGTCAGTGTGAACCTGCAAACCTAACTAAATGCCAGCAGTGTTTATTTTTCTCTTGATTAAAACAGTCACGCCAAGCAGCTGAACCGTAAGATTGTGTCCTAAATATTCCTGGGTTATGAATAAAACTATGTTAATGTGTTTTAGACGACCAGCTTCATGCTTCTTGTTTTTTTTTTCTTTTTCCTATTTTTAACTGTGCTTTAGTTTTTCTTGAAATCTGTTTTCTCAGCTCTCATTGTTCGGCAGCTGTTTTCTGCATTCTGTGCACACGTTTCAGCAGATGCGTATCTCTTATATTGTTTCACCCCCCAGCAGAGGCTCAGGTCAGCACCCTGCCTGCTGGCTTTACATGAACATTTTGATACTGTCTGGCTTTTTCTTTTCAAGGGCAGTGTGAGAGATGATTACACTTGCATTCTGGTTTAGTAAATCCGTCTGTGTTAAAGGTCACAATATGCTAGATGCGTTTTTATTTTCACAGCTAAAACTGTTATAAAAATGTGTCTGGGACTGTTCTGATGCAGAACCCTGCAGAAATATTCATACCCTTGAACTTTTACACAAGCTGTAAATATCTGTGTTTATTTGTTAGAGGTTTTTGATTTTTTTTTATATCACAGACAAAATAGTTTAATTATGAAGTGGAAAATAAATTGAAAAAAATGTTTTCTTTTCTTCCACAAAATACTTTGTAAAATTTCCTTTAGCCTCAGGTCTTAGGGTTCGTCTCTCGGTGTGTTGCACATCCACAGGCTGACTTTCTTGCCCACTCTTTTTGTACAAGAACTCAGGCTCAGTCATGCTGGATAGAAAACATAGATGAAAAACAGTTTTTAAATCTCGACTTGGTTTGTCAGTTGGATTTAGGCCTAGACTTTGACTGCTTTAAGAAAGAGATTATATTTCACCCATCTGGATTATATACTGTATATCATTTATCTGAACCTTTCGTGGTATTTTTTTATTTATTCCGAGGTATTTCATTATAAAAGGGCTGATTACATTTGTACCTGTTTCAAGGATCTATTTCAAGCATGGCATTTTTTCTTCTCAGTTATTTTGTGTTACAGGGAAGTTTGTGTTGTTAAAGAAACAGAGGGTTTGAATACTTTTGCGTGTACTTTTGATTGTAAATGTTCTTCTTTAAATGTTGAATTATTTGGCCAAAGCAAAGTACGTAAAATAAACAATATTTATTTGTTGCTGTTTTTGTTTCTACTTAATGTATTTTGTTAAAAGTTCATTTCAAATTTGTTTTGGTTTTTGTTCACCTTTTTAGATGGAAATATTTAAGTGGCTGCAAAATAAAAAATAAATTAAAAAGCCATGACATTAGTGAATACCATCAGAACCTCAATGCAGTATTGCACTCAGTGCATTTAGATGTTTTAAATACATAAAAAAAGAGAAAGTTTAATTTTATTTTTAAAATGGTAAAATCTGCTATTTAGGGTTTCTTCACTGATATAAAGTGCCAATGTCAGGGGGAACCTTGAATTCCTTTATTTGAAAGGGCAAAATATAAAATAAGTCCTGAAAATGGTTGAAGCAGAGCTGAGATGGATTTGTTTGTTGGAAACCAGAGGGAAATTAATGATTGTATGTTAATAGTGACGTCTGTCTTCAAGACTTAAGAATTCTGCACCATCTTTAGAATCACTCACCGAGAGTCACATCGTTCACAGAGAGTCACTGACATTCAGCAGTGTGCAAGAGGAGTGCAGTATAGATGGTAAAATATTAAAGTGGTTACAGTGAAGCTCACTGTGGTTTATAGATGGGTGTGATTCATACGACAGGCTGTGTGGCTGAGCTGGCTATGGCATTTATTAATTAGTTTACTACGAGTCAGGCAGTGTATCTTATTATAACCCATTGATGGTCTAATCTTTGTGACTTATGCATCTTCTCTGCATAGCTGACAAAAAGGTAATGAGTCCTCCTGTGATGAAGTTGGGCTATTTCAAAATAAATCTTGCTCATAATGGAGCTGTTTGGCTGCTGCGATCTTCTCCTTTCCTGTCCCGGTGTCCACTCATCTGTCAGCTGATCATCCCACACGTCAGCCTATACTGTGGTTTGTTTAATGATAAATGAGCCGGACTAAAATAGTCTACCTGCTTGTCCTGTCCCTGATAGGCTCCTCCATGTATTAATAATAGTCTCATTGTGGAACAATTATGCACCTTTCCTGCACACTTTGTGCACTAAATGGCACTACCAATCATACAGTACTAGTGCAATTATTTTAATTAAAGGAGTTTTTCACAAGCTGACATATTTTTAGTTTTGGTTACTGTGAGTAGGCGATTTCTCCCCTCCTCACTGTTTTTAAAAGACTAATTGCTTGTGTATGATTGTGGACATTTATGAATGTGAGTTGCCTGACGAACTATGCGCACACACACACACCTGCTCAATCGCTCTGCACAGTTTGCCCTGAGTGTGCAGCGGGACACGCGCTGCCCTCTTACGAACAGAGACAATTGTTTACCTGTCGCAGTTTACTGATTGAAACACCAGCACTGAAGTTAGCGCTGGCTGCGCTAACTGTAGCAAACCAGTCCCCACAGTTTCCCCTGAAACATCTCCTGCATGCGGGTGAGGTACCCACTCGTAATGTAGCACTACACACACCATCACCGTTCCTAGCACTGATTCATTCATTACAAACAAAACGCCAAACTTACCTCGTGTCCTTCACCTTGAGTCTCCACTTCCAAACGGAAGCATGCGCCGTTTGGAATGTTTACAATGCCATCGTGACTTTCCCAGGACAAATTGAAAAAAAAAAGATGAGCAATGGTCTGCTATAACTAAAACTAACGTGTTTGTCCACAGGTAACATGGTGGAGGGGTTTCCGTGCTTGAATGGCCCCAGGGGTTATGTTTTCAGGGGCTTGATTGGCCCTGGTAGGTCTTCCAAGATATATAGGTTCTTGGTAATGAGTCATATACAAAAAAAGGGTTCAAGAAGCCCTTATGTTGACTAAATAAAATCGAGGGAAGCGATCTTTCCTGCTGTGGCAGAACAAGAGCCTGGGGTTGGGGTTTGCCCGCAATCACCTGATGGTCAAGATCTCCCTAAAGGGATTCAGCCAGAACATAGTTGGTTTCACCTACACTCAAAGCTGGCGCTCTGTAAGCCAGCACCTTGAGAGAGACAGGACTCTTTTCTACTCTGGCCCAGCTCAGCCGTAAGGTGTTGGAGTTCACCCTGGTGGACTCAGGGGGCTGCATCACTCCACTCTCGGGTTGTGGGGGAAGTATCTGACTGTTATTTTTCCCTACATGCTGATGAATGATATTGAATACCAGGTCATCTTGCTGTTTTTGGCAGTGCTGCTGCATAGGCCTCTGTGAATGTGGCTGCTTTAGCTTTGGCCGTTAGGTCTGCTGTGCTTGTCGTGGCAGCAATCTCCAAACCTGATGGTGGACACAGGCAGTAAAGGATGATGTCAAGTTAATAAGGAGTTCTTTCGAGCCTGCTTGGCTTGTGAGACTCTGAGGGGGCAAGCAGATAACATTTAGGATCTTCTCAACCTGACTGTTCCTCTTGATGACCCTGAGAGAGGCAGAGACTTGGTCCACAGGCTTCAAAGGGTGAATGAGATCTGAGACTAGGGACTAAAATAGGTAAAATTGTGTTAATCCTAACTGAGCTAAAACAGGAAAGGTTTTCTCTCATTGTATATCATGTAATGAGAAAATGCTGTGTATACACTCACCGGCCACTTTATTAGGTACCCCATGCTAGTAACGGATGGAACCCTTTTGCCTTCAGAACTGCCTCAATTCTTCGTGGCATAGATTCAACAAGGTGCTGGAAGCATTCCTCAGGGAGTTTGGTCCATATTGACATGATGGCATCACACAGTTGCTGCAGATTTGTCGGCTGCACATCCATGATGCGAATCTCCCATTCCACCACATCCCAAAGATGCTCTATTGGATTGAGATCTGGTGACTGTGGAGGCCATTTGAGTACAGTGAACTCATTGTCATGTTCAAGAAACCAGTCTGAGATGATTCCAGCTTTATGACATGGCGCATTATCCTGCTGAAAGTAGCCATCAGAAGTTGGGTACATTGTGGTCATAAAGGGATGGACATGGTCAGCAACAATACTCAGGTAGGCTGTGGTGTTGCAACGATGCTCAATTGGTACCAAGGGGCCCAAAGAGTGCCAAGAAAATATTCCCCACATCATGACACCACCACCAACAGTCTGAACCTTTGATACAAGGCAGGATGGATCCATGCTTTCATGTTGTAGACGCCAAATTCTGACCCTACCATCCGAATGTCGCAGCAGAAATCGAGACTCATCAGACCAGGCAACGTTTTTCCAATCTTCTATTGTCCAATTTCGATGAGCTTGTGCAAATTGTAGCCTCAGTTTCCTGTTCTTAGTTGAAAGGAGTAGCACCCGGTGTGGTCTTCTGCTGCTGTAGCCCATCTGCCTCAAAATTCGACGTACTGTGCATTCAGAGATGCTCTTCTGCCCACCTTGGTTGTAACGGGTGGTTATTTGAGTCACTGTTGCCCTTCTATCAGCTCGAACCAGTCTGGCCATTCTCCTCTAAACTCTGGCATCAACAAGGCATTTCCGCCCACAGAACTGCGGCTCACTGGATGTTTTTTCTTTTTCGGGCCATTCTCTGTAAACCCTAGAGATGGTTGTGCATGAAAATCCCAGTAGATCAGCAGTTTCTGAAATACTCAGACCAGCCCTTCTGGCACCAACAATCATGCCACGTTCAAAGTCACTCAAATCACCTTTCTTCCCCAAACTGATGCTCGGTTTGAACTGCAGGAGATTGTCTTGACCATATCTACATGCCTAAATGCACTGAGTTGCCGCCATGTGATTGGCTGCTTAGAAATTAAGTGTTAACGAGCAGTTAGACAGGTGTACCTAATAAAGTGGCCAGTGAGTGTATCTTCATATATTCCATTTGTCCCTAACATCAGTTGCATACAGTATACTGTATAAATACCTTTGCTGCTCATACTAAAAACTATTGCTGTTCTATGCTTTCTAATCTTGGATACTCTGCTCCTGGTGATACCTGGTGATGCCTTTTCTTACCTGTCCACAACTTCCCAGATTTTTACTTAAACACTTAAAAAGGTACTTTCACTTACATGTTCACATATTTATAGAATTTCCATCTAATGAAAAACAAAAATAACTGAAAAATCCAGAAAGCATCCTAAAGCGATGTGCTAGTAGGACCAGTACCAAGATCTTTGGCGGCCTCTGACAAAACTGTATGTGGGGATTGTAAATATGTACACAATTCATTGGACATCAACACAGCTGTTAGACTTTATTGGGAAATCAATCCAGTTCTCTTTAGATACAGTTTATCATAAATAAAATTCCATGCTGATGTCTCTATGTTTATGTTGTTTTAAATCATTCTTAGGTGAAATATAATCTGCCTTTCAAATAATGAAACATTTTTACCAGAGTTGGACCGGGACAATAATCCAGGCTGGGACGTGGATACTTAGGCTACCACAACTCAACTGAAAACCACAAAGACTTACACTAAGAGCGTGGCGTATTCAGAACACAAGTACGCTAAAAACATTCTCACCAATGGCTCGAAATAATCTGGCACTGATGACTGGTCTGAAGGCTGGTTAAACAGAGACTAATGCAGGTAGATCAGATGAGCGGTAACAGGAACTGGGTGAAGCTAAGCAGATGTTAGACATGTGTAATCAGACGAGGCATCTGTGCTGAGATCATGATATTCTTATTTTATTTTTTTTTTACTTCTTCATAAAATCTTGTAATCCTAAACATTTAATTCAATATCTTAGTCCAAACAACACGGAGGCAGTCAGGTAAATTATGCTTTGTCCACACACAATACCTAGAGGAAAAATAATAAAAAATCATTACCAGCAGCTACTACTACCATGACCTCCCTGTATATTATATTAAGCTTGGACCCACAAAATGGTAACACTGACAACTCACCACCCAAACATTTGGTTGAGTATACAAACATTTCTATAAAATCAGGTGTCATAAAATTAGAAGCAGCATTAGAAATACCAAAAAGAGTGTTCTTTAGACATTTTTTTTCCAGAAATAAATTCTATAATAAATTTTTAAAGAGAAATTTTTTTGACATTTCTTAAATTATTCTCTGTAACATAATTCAACACATATCCCCACAACACACATTGAGAT